TCCATAGCCTTTTCTGATTCTTAAAAGATTCCATCCCCCCCACACACACACACCCTCATCACCAGTGAATATTTAGGCTTCTTAAGACGCTGAAAAGGTCTTCTCCATCTCTTCTTCCATAACATTGACTTTTCAAAGCAGTGAATCCAATTGCCAAAAATAAAATCAATTTACTACTATAGGTCAAAGCGTCCGGCAAAGTGGCCCTGCGTCTCTCCGTGGTTTGCTTCCTGAGCCCAGTGTCAGGGGCCTGAAATAATCAAGACGGCGCCCTGGTGCCCACAGAATCCAAAAACCAAGGGAGGAGGTGCAGTGACTTGATGTTTCAAAGCACAAAGCTTCTGATCGCCCCTGTACCAGTTTTCTCTTCCCACGTGTCAAGCTCCATTCATCCCTTAAACAATGCCAGCTTAGCAGCACACTGGAAACTGCTTAAAATCCTCAAATGTAAGATGTGGAACTTTGAGCATCGCCCCACTGTGGGAGGATACGATTATGGGGTGCTTTGGGAGAAAGCTGTGTGCTGTCCACAGCGTCACCCCACGAGTCACCCCCAACTCATCAGAATATTAAAGAGGACCATGGCATTGCTGAGTCTTAACCCCATTTTACCCAAGAGGAAACTGAGGCAGAGATTGGGGGCTGTCCGGGGCACCCCAGTGTCACAGGAGCCAGCACCCCAGGCCCGGGACCTTGCTTTTTGCCTCCCCACCTCTGCTGATGAGATGCCGGCGAGGGGAGAGTTAGACTCGCATCTAAACACCCCCATTCCCAGGGCTCAGCGTGCCCGGGATGGGAAGCACTGCTGTTTGGGGTGAGGCGAAGGCCCCCACTCTTCTGGGAGCATGAGTACTTACTGCCTCCATCTCTCTTTGTGTGATTCAACGCAACGCCACACACCACGTGGTGGTAAACAGCTGCCAAAGCAGCCCACACCAGAGTCCAGGCTGCGAGCTTTCTCTGGGAAAAGTGACAGTGTCTTTCCTGACGTTAAAACATGTCTGTATGCGCAAAACGCCATTTCCCTAAGGTCCCTCAGACAATGAGGTGGACGCATCCACCTTGCAGAGGAAGAAAGTGAAACCAGGTCATCTGTAGGGTGCCAGCCAGCCACTGGGCTTCAGGGGCACCACAGTCGCCCGCCATGAACCCCGCCAGACACGGGAGGCGCAACAAATAATCTTTGCTTTTTTTAATTGAACCAGGATCCCCATGAAACTTTCAGGGGAAACAGCTTCCACCCATCAGGGAGCACAGGGAGGCGGAGTCAGAAGAGCCTCTTCAGGTTCTTGGCAGCATCCAGGTCCAGGTATTCCTCCAGAAGGCTGTTTGCAACCCCCAGGGTGCCCAGGACGGTCAGCAAGGCCAGCACCCCCAGGCTCCACCAGAAGCCTGTGACCCTGGGGGCAGACAAGGGGGAGAGGCTGACGACCCCCGCCACAGTGACGCACAGGCACCGGTTGGCTGCCCAGCGGCCGCAGCGCCCGCGGCATCCGTGGCTTCCGCCACCTGGGGGCTGTGGCCCTCCACACAGGCTGACGGGGCGCCTGGCCCTGACCTAGCGGATTCCCATGGGCAGCCAGGGGCTGCCGGGGCTGGGCAGGGAGATCTGCCTGGTAACTTTCTGGAGACGGCGCAGAATTCTGGCAGAATTCTGGAAACCACCACCAGAAGCAGAAGCTGGAAACCACATCCGGGCCTGATGTCATGTTCGCAGCCTGCGTCTCACACCTCCTGTGCGTGGCCTGGTGAGACGTGGCCAGGGCCGCACGGCCACTTCCCCATCTCCCCGGCCGCCCAGCACACAGCCGGCAGCAGGCCCGCGGCTCGTTAGCCTGACACCGATGGTGGCTCCTCCTTACCTCTTTTTAGCAGCTTCTGAATAACCCCAGAAGTCCCAGTGACGGGCACACAGGTATGCCAGGCCCAGGCCAGCGGCCCACACTAGAGGAGGAGAGCAGACATGGAGCAGGAAGCTGCCTCTCAAATTGAGAGCTGAAAACTCACAACAGCGTCATCAGCAAGACTGGTGTCCAAGACACACAGAACTCTGGCAAGTCAGTCATGAAAACGACTTCGTTTTTCTTTTTCTTTTTCTTTTTCTTTTTTTTAAGATTTATTTATTTGTGCATATAGAACTGGGGTACAGGCCAGAGATGCGGAGGGTGAGAGGCTTCACCAGAGACAGAGTAGGAAGCAGAACAGGCAGATCGACGAAGCACACTGCTGAGGGGAGCAGCGGGCGGGTCAGGAGAGGTCTGCCGCGCCCTGTGGTCACCTCCGCGGCAGGCGGGGATCGAACTCATGCAGAAGTGGCTTAAGCTTCTCAGTGCAGTGCTTTAACCCACTGCGCCACCAGGGAGGGCCCACAACTTCGTTTTTCAATGGGCAAAATATCTCAACAGGTAGTTGACACAGGGAGGTACGTACCTGTACCTAACATAAGCACACGACAAACTCTCAACATCTTTCTACATCAGCAAGTCACGAGGCAAAAGCACCATGAAACACCGTCAGGTCCAGCTCCCCTCCCCGGGGCCTGCACCTAAAGACTGACACCCAGACTGTGCGGGAACGTGGAATACCCCCAACATTGCTGGGGGGCTACGACATGAAAGGCCGCAGCAGAGCGCGGGAAGAGGCTGCCCAGGAGGCGGAGATGGCAGCGAGCGGTGGGCAGTCACCTGCGGCCAGAGAACGGCCATCCGAGGACGGCCATCGCCGGGCACTTCTGAGCCTGCGCCGTGGTGAACCGCCCCAGCCGGGAGTAACGGGACTGACGGGGCTGTGGGCTGGCGAGTGAGATCAACGAAAGGAGATTAAGAGAGATACCGAGAAGCCCTCTGCGGCAGGCCTCGAAATCCAGAGGGTCATCGGCAGCGCAGGAGTCTCGTCTGGTGCGCAGACCTCTCCTGACCGCCCGCTGCTCCCCTCAGCAGTGGACTTCGCCCATCCGCCTGTTCTGCTCCCCGCTCTGCCTCTGGTGAACCCCCTCACCCACCCACCTCTGTGTACCCCAGTTTTGTATGCATAAATAAATCTTTGGGGAAACGGGGGGCCCTCATCTTGTGTGCTCTCACCACACAAGGAACAACGACTTTTATTCCTGCCCTCCAGGGACAAAAGTCGACTTGGGATAAAATTATGAAGACTTTCTATCTGAAAGGACGTTTTCTCTGAATTTCCTCCACTGACAGTCAAAACTGTAGGAAGAAGGGGGTGCCTTTGGGAGCAGCTGGAGTGGGTTTGTTCCAATCGTGGCAATTACGTGTCGGACCCAGAACAGGCAATGAACTTACCAGAAAGCAAATGGGGATAAATTTCTCCAACCAAGGCACAGGGGCTGGTCTGACTCCTGTCCGAGGGGCAAATGGGGCCTGGGGGTGCCCTCAGCTCACCCAGATGCTCCTTACCAAGGAGAGAGGGGTGTTTGGGGGTGTTGGGGACACTCCTTACCAAGGATTTTTAGGGTTGCTACATAATGACCGAAGAACTCTGTCCTCGGCAGCCTCGGTGTCTGAACCGTGGGGTGAGCGCCTGCACCTCCCTCCTGGGTTGGCCAAAGTCAAGGCCTAAGCCACTACCCCTAACCCTGCACCTGAGCTCCTATGTGGGAACACCAGCCCACCTGGAGGGCGTCTGGCCCTCTACTCCCTGCCCGAGCGTGTGGTGAGCCCTAGCTCCCGAGACGAGACGGCTGGCCACTGTGTTCTGTTCCTGCAGCTACCCGCGGGTGGGTTAGCCGCCCTGAGGTCAGCGCTCACGTGGTCCTCACCCTGGCGCGCCCGGAATACAGCTTGTTGCCCTTTTTTTTTTTTTAAGATTTATTTATTTATGCACACACTAACTGGGGTACAGGCCAGAGGCT